ACGCAGACCCAAGCTTTCGCTGCCGTCGAAACTTCCAGGTGCGATGAGGAAAAGCAAAAAGAATCTGGTAAACGAGAAGCGACGCAAGGCAGTTGGTCGCATAAAAGGTGGCGTGGAACAGTTCAACGCGAAAGTGCTGCGGAAGGCGGTGGTGGTTAAGAAGCAACTGGCGGAACCTTTAACGAAAGAAGAACATATACAAGCACAGCCAAGGGAGTGGGACGAATTCGTCGAGGAGGGCGCAAACCAAACGCAGCCAGCTGGGAAACTCGAAACGCGTGCGAAGAAAACGGAAAAGGGTTCGCCCTGCACACACCAACACATCGTGGTACCGCCAGCGCGCCTACTGCCCATGCGATCTATATCGCCCGCGGTATCCATATCACCACAGAGCGTAGGGAAGCGCATAAAGCAGATCGCGCCGAATCTGAGTAATATTTGGAGTACAAGTAAGAGCGAGGGTACGAGCCTGCAGAGTGTCACACTCCGTTCAAAGTTTGGTGAAGGATTTGGCAGAAGCGTAAATTTGGAAGGACACAATTGCCTAGGACAAGCATTCCACCAGCATTTCGACGTCTATCCAAGTTATACAAAGGAGAATGAAGCGCGCCTACCAAAACTGAAAATGAGCGAAAAATCGAAAGGGAATGAAGTGGCTAGCGAGCAATCGGAATTCGGTATATCCTATCACACGCCAATAAAGCAACGGTCGCTTATACAGCGGCGTCGAGCAAAATCACCTCAGACGCAAGTGAGACGCAAAGAGGCAAGTGTGCGCCGATCACCAGAACTCAAGCATTTCTTGTAAGAGGTAACGAAGTATGGCAAAAGAGGGGAAGACAGCAGGCAGGCATACTATTTTAGGAACACTAAATAATCCCTTAAAAGTGTAATGTATATTTCTAAGCTAGTTAGGAATTTTGCAAAAATTTTTAGTGTACGATTTAGGCTTTTAATCAATAAAGTTCAACTGGTTATAAAATTCCTTAAGTGGCGGTGTGGCTTTGAGAATTATAGGGAATTAAAATTACTTGATAGAATACCCCCGATACCTCGTCAAATTTTGTTTGGCTACAAAGTGGTGGTCGTTCTGCCATCTTCAGTGTAATTTTTAATTCTTTGATGCCAACTTTTTTTTTTAGTATAAATATATAGTTTAACTATTATAGTTTACTTTGCTAAATAGGTAAAAAGTTATAAAAGTTAAGAAATAAAAAAATTAAAAAATTATAAATTGAAAAAAATAATAAGGAATTAAAAAAATTAAAATTGAATCAAAAAGAATTCAAAAATTTAGGAAATAAAACAATTCATTTTTTTTTTGAGAATTAAGAAAAAATAAAACAAAATAAATATATAAAAATTTAAAATTTAAAAAATTAAGAAACAAATAAAAATATTAAAGATTATATTCTTTATTTTTATTACCTACTATATTTTTTAAACTTTTTAGTTATTTTTTTATACATATCTCTGTATTTTGTTTTAATTTTTTTTTTTATAAAAAAATTGAATTGTTTCATTTCCAGAATTTTTTAGTTCTTTTTAATTCACTTTTAATTCCTTATAATATTTTTTCAATTCCCAATTTTTTTTACTTTTTTTAACTTTTATTATTATTCACCTTTTTAATTTTTTTTCTATAATTTTTGTTGAGCTTGAGGCGGTTTTTTAAGATTTTTTTGTTTGACATGAGGTCAATAAAACCCCACAAACAGTTTCCTTATTAGTTTAAATTTCATCCAGCAACATGCGATCAGCTGTTTTTCGTACTGGCAAATTCTTACAAGTAAAAATTTATCCAGTAAAAACTTGCAACTTCAACTGTCATTTTTCGCTCTCTCAATTTCCCCTACTTTGCAAGTTTTTGCGTACGAAAACACCAAAACGTGAAAATTCGTAAGAACTTTTACTGGATTTTACTGGAAATGAGTAAAAAGCGCAACTATGATTTATTTGGCCAACAAATTACCAAAAACTAAAATTTTTCCGGTTTTAAATTCTTTTTGCATAGTTTTTTTTTTAATGTTTTTTCTTTTATTTCGTATTATTAAGTTATCAATATCTTCATTTTTTAAGCTTTCTTATTTATTCATATTTTTTCGTTTTCTGTACTGGAATTAGCTATTGGATTTCAAAGTTATATTTAACATCAGTGATGACAATTAAGTTCCAAATGGGCTCTAACATCAGAAACTAGTTTTTGCGAATATTGCAGAATATTATTTTTTTTTATTAAAATAAATAATTGTATCTTTGACTTTGTTTTAATTAGATATGTATGTATGTATGTATATAATATTTACTTCTCGCAACAAATAAATTAATTTATAGGGAATTTTGACGGAGGCGTTTCTTTTAAAATTCTATTTCACCCGTTTTATTCATCTAAATCGCCTCCAATAGGCAATAGGTATCAATTTATCGCTAGGCTTTGCTTATTTATCGAACACTCTTTGCGCGCACTCATAAACATTGCAAATATTCGAATTGATTAGAAGTGCACTTAATATTAGAAGCGCAAAAAGGGAAGAGCACTGACGCTAAATATGTGAAGTGACATTTTCAGCGGGTAAGGTAAAAATTAATACGAGTTAAAAATAGAAAGAAAAATATCGAGGTCAAGGCTAATTAATGACTAAAATACAATAAAATTCGAATACAAAATGAGTAACTAATACGAAATAGGTAAAAGGAAGCAGTTGATCCACAAACAAACATACACAACATATGTATATACATGAGGTGTTTATTTAGAAATGACCAAAACTATATAGTTATATTTGATGCGAATTTCCACTCCTTTAAAGTGAATCGATTTTCCTTATCGGTCATTAATCAACGCGCGGCTGCGAATTTGACCCTCGCACGTTAAACGGAGTGAGGCTTTCGCCAGATACTTACATACATACATATGTATGTATGTCTGCATGTATGAATGGTATGTGCATAAATACATATCTACATATATGTATATGTATGTATGTACGCAAGCATTTCGGTATGTATTATTAAAATAAACCCCTTTTTAGGAGAAAAGTATGAACTACATTACATGGGCACGCACACTCTATTATTTGTAGCTCTAGTACCAGCCATACAACTACAGTGTTTCCATTTTCATCACGGAACCAATGAATCTTCGTGAGGGTGTTTAAAAGTATAAATTTCTAATGCCATAAAGTTGGCAATAACTTTTATAGTTTCCCTTATCTCTGATGTTAGACAAATTTTAATAGCTTATATGAATATAGATTACTTTGCAAACACTTTTCCATTATCTATATATTAGTAGTACTAACAAATATATGCATGCGTATATATATATGTATGTACATACATATATCTGTATATTAAATGATCATATTGCCGTGTTATAATACAAATGCTTTTCACAAGTAAACAAATGTTTTAAGCATGCTCTAACAAAGGTAATAACCGTCAACCAATGTAGTAGAAGTAACTTATCATTAAATTTTTAATGAGCTTTAGGTGATGACTCGATTTATATTTACTCACATACATACATACATTTGTAATAATAAATATATTAATGGTTGAGCAGTTAGGCGCGTCAGGCGATCAACGAATTTCATAGCTACATACTTAATTATTGAGCACAGTTGTCGAAAATTGAGGCACGCCGCTTACTATAAACAAATTATAATTGGTGTGCAGTATTGGGGAAAATAATAAACACATACATAATAAAGCATTTTTAAGCTATTCCCCTAATAATTGTCTTGCAGTGATGATCTAACGAAGGAGAATAAACAATTATGGAATATTTAGAGAACTTTCTTTTGTCGAATCTGTACATTCGCCTTATAATAATCTGGAATTTTGATAAATCATCTTAATCATGGTAAAATTATACCAGGTGTAGTAATCAGAGCGAGAAGAAAGATATCTTATTTGCAAATTTATTTTTGAAAAAATTTCTACAAGATAGCCGAATGTGAAGAAAACCTAGAAAATAAAGCGAGAAAGCTGTTTTATTACTACACCTGGTATAATTTCACCATGAAATAATGCCACCCTGTCAAGGCCAAGGACTGCCACCACTCCAGCAACACTCCCCAAAATCTGTTTGGGGAATTTGTATGATGTTACAACAACAACAACAACAACAACACCCTGTCAACAGCCAACACCAACAATCTGGAATTTCATTACTTATGATAACAAAAGAAGTTGCACTTGTTATGCGTAATTAGGAAAATATACTTAGGAAAAGATTCTCAGTGCAAATTAAGCATTGCTTACCCCGTAAACAAAAATTAAAAAAGGTTAGTTCGTTTAACCTAGCCCAAGCTAACCCAACGCAACTCTCCCCAATATTTTTTTTTGCCAACACTGTACCTGTGGGCGCTACGCATATCTGTCTATGTATCTACATGTCTGCGTAGAAATGCATACTCCCACGAAAATTGTAACCAAAATTTGCTGGTGATTATCGATTTGCCATTAAGTTAATAAATTTGCTTTAAATCAATGTAGCAATTATCGTAGAAATTTATAGTTCTTTGTTTTCATTGGTGATACGAGCAAAATGCGACTTAAATTAATAAAGATTATTGTGCAAGATATTGTACAACCGCTGCAACAACAACCACAACATTGAATGATAATTGAACAAAGCCTAAAAAATACAGTAGATAAAAAAAATCATATCTGGTGTATAACAAAAAGGGTTTCAAGCAGCTCAAGTAGGTTGCAAAGGCCTTTTTAATGGCGTTGCTAAAAAATTTAAAGTTAAGCATATTCGAGCAAAAATATGTGAAAATTGAATAAATAAATATAATAATGTTCTGTAGCTAAACTAACAAATATTTAACTTGTTAGAAAAGCAATTGTATTTGCTAATGATAAAATTAATAATTTATTCAATTCAATAATTATCTACCCATTTGTATATTAAACCCAACAACGCCATCAGAAAAACTGAAAGCCCCATATGTAATTAATACAACCGCTATTTAAATACAAAGCACACTCACTTGTTGGTGATTTCCATAACATCCGACATCATAAGGCGATATTTTTTACGAAACTGCAGGCCACGTTTCGTATTCAACAGGTACTTGTTGCAGAAATCTGTCAGCGACACAAAGTAAATGAAACCCAATGAGGTGAGGAAGAGGCCGCGTTGCAGTGAAATGCGATCTGTTGTATTGGGTATCTGCAGCAGGCTGCCACAAGCCAGGCTCATCGAGCCAATGGAACAGGCCAAGGACATGTAGCAGCGACTGCCACGCAGGCGCTGTTGCAGGGCGGTGTTAGCGCCCATAATTTGTGCTTGTTTATATTTTGTGTGTGTTTAATTTTTCTTTGTTTTTTTCTGGAACCTCACTTGTGCGTTCGTCGTCAATGTTGGAAGTCCAGTGTGTTATTTTTTTATGGTCGCTTTTTTGTAGTGCTTTAGCTGCTTAAACTCTGTTACGGTGGCTTTCGGAAGGTAACTGCAAAAAGAAAGAGCTAATATGTAGTTTGAAAGTGTAACAATAATTTTTTTATAATTATTAATTAAATACGCTAGTTATTCATAAAATGATTTAGCTTGCAAATTATTCGTTGGACTTTGTGTATACGTACTATGTATGTATACATTTTCTAATTTATTTCACTTTAGTACATGTGTGAGGGTACTTAGTATATTTTGTGGTTATCAAGTTTATTCAACGCTTTTGTTTGCCAGATAAGACAAGTCAACAATAAATTATAATTAAGTAAAAGAGCGGCGAGAATTTTAACAACTGAGTTTTAGCTTTTCCACTTTTTGTGCTGGTGTAATTGGTTTCATCCATTCTCGCCTCTCCAGCATCTCTTTGTGACAGAAATCAATCGCAAAAAAATCAGAATTTATGAAGGTGATAAAAAACTGATAACAGCCTTTAGTTTGGAAAATATGAATCATTCGGTTTTTTGCACTTTTTAAAATTTAAAAGAAGTTTTAACATTTTGAACGGAAGTTTGAAAGTTCAAGATACAGGAAAAAGTTGTTAAATAAATAGCAATTGTACATAAATATGTACGAATCCTATACGTAGTACATTTGTGTAACACTAGCCACTAAAAAATTCTAAGCAAACATGAGATAATAGAGCCACAATTACCCGTGCTTATACAAAATAAAACTACCTAACAACAATAATCACTAGCACGCCCTTGGCTTAGTTACGTAGTCACGTCGCGTCGCCAACCCTTATGCACCACTTACACTCACACCAACATACACACACATACAGGCTCCCCAGTCGCAAACTTACACTGGCATTTGGTAAAGAAATTTTTTAAATGACGACATCGACTAAAATGTGCAGCAGAATGACGCCGTAGAGGATTTCGCAGACAAGCTGACACCAAGTGGCGCAAACATACATATGTACATATGAACGTGTGTGGTCATTACTTAAAGCAGTCAAAAACTAAAACAGCGGAGGCCGGAGCGTCGCGAAACGTGTGATTGAGTCAGACAGTGGCGGTTTAAAAATAAGAACGGAAAGATCTTAGCATTTTAAAAAGATTTATAATAGATTCATGGAGCATATCCGTAAATCATAGTTTTTCACAGAGCGATGTTCCCTACAAATCATCGAAAGTGAGCTAACTTAGATTCCTGTTATATATACATAACCACTTTACAAGTTTCGTACATTAATTTAAATCAATCTACAAAACAATTTGTTATTCGCGCTTTATAGCCAGAATGAAATGACGATTACTATTCATACATAGTGCGCAGCACAGCATACACAGTTATATGAACCATGTATAGAAACATGCACATGTACATGTACATGTACATATGTACGTCCGTATTATTATTTCTCTAAAAACTGGTATGATGTAAGAATCGCTTTATTTGCTTAAATTGCTTTCAATCGCTATTCCGGCAGCAAGCCGAGAGTGCTTTAGAAGCATTTGTGGAGCAGAGCAGCTCATGAGCAAGCCTTCCACAGGTCATAGCGTAAATTACTTTTTGCCATTATCATTTACAATTGACAATTGAATCTATTGCCCCTTTCTATTGCTATTTTATTCTTGCGCGGGGGTGTGCCCAAATGCAAATCAAAGCGCACTGTATGGGGCATATACGAATTGTTAGAATTCTTTGGCTAAGTAAATGTATAGCTTCGTAATGAAACAGCTGTTTGTGAGCTAAAAGGACATGTCAACTAATGATACTTGTTTACATTTGGTCACATGATCTGTGCAGCAGATAACAGCTTGGAGCAAAACAGCAATCAGCAGCATGACTAAACAAAAACAGTTGTTTGTATTTTTGTTTTCCTCATATGTTTTTGTTTGGCAATGTATGCACTGCCGTGACCAACAATCGCTTTTTAGCAAACGTACGCCATGACATTTTCACTTTAACTCACTCCTCTTGCGGGACATGGTACACAAATCATACACACGCGTGGGCGTTATAAAGCAAGGTATTCGTCTTTTAATTCATTACACGTGTGTGACATGTTATGCAAGAGCGTCTGTTGTAGAATTAGGAGCGGTGCATGTTAAATGATGCTCGCTGGTACCAGGTGGCAAGTAAGACTTGTAAAAATGGGATCACCACTTGATGGCTGCTAATTCACTGCGCAATGTTAGTATGTATTCGTGTATATATTTTCGGCGTGTGCATGTGATGATTGGATGCTAATTGTATGGTGCTGACAATGATAATGAACTTGATGAAGCTGGCCAACCTAGAAAAAGCTCTATTAATTAAACAGAAAAATAATTTCCATTACTTGTAGTGTAACGTGACAACTAAATACATATGCTATGACGATAAGCTACCGTGCTTATCACCAATCTGCGCCGTTGATATATAAATTTTCGTCACCTAAGTACCCGAATACGTTGCAGCTGTGTGCCGGTTCGATGCAGTTTACACAAGTCTTGTAAATTCTATTATGTTATACCGGCAGCATATCACTCCCTTGCCCGCACTCTAACTAGATAAATGCTTTTATGTATTTGGTTTGACCAGCGCAGCTCCGCATCATTGCACATCGATGTGTAGCAACAAATTCAATTTGCCATATGTTGGCGTATGTTCTAATTATTTTTGCTATTTTTCTATTGTTTGCAGTTGTTCTTATAAGCGATTTAATTAATTAACACAAAATATAGCCTCTATTTCCCCAATATTAACTCCCAAGCGCTGAGTAGTGAAACAAGCGGTTCAACCAAGATTTTGCAATCACCTCTGTCGTAGTTGCTCGTGAGTCTTCTTGCTTCAGTGGCTCTTGTAGCAGGTGGGAAATTCTTTTTTCAATTAACTTTTAATTATTGAAAACCGCAAGTAACTTTGTAAATTACTACCGATCGAAAAAATAAAACAACTACTCGCGCGTTAAAAACCAATTGCACTGTATTAAAAAAAATAATCAGCAGGCGAGCAGGTCGCGCTGTTAAGTGCTGTCATACTTGACGAATTGTGCCCGACAAAAACAAAAATTTTGAAAAAAAAAATAGTTTCATGTTTAACCAACTTGAAGGCACCAAAAGATACATGAAATTATTAGTTTATAGCTAGCTGAAAATTTAAATAAATCTGCTTTATTAAATAGTTCTTGGAAAGCTTTTCAAGAAAAAGTGAAGTATTTTAATTTTTCCCTCTATCGAAGTAGAGAGCATGCAGCACTGTTGCCCAACAGCTGATTGCAAATTTACAATCAGTGCTGCCACTGCGTTATTTTCATAAACTGAATGGCAGTGTTCACAACCCACATTTTAAGAAAAGGCCAGAGTGTGTTTTGGACGCCACCTTGCAAACTTATTTTACACCGGAAGTGCTTAGACCAAGCTAAAGGAAAAGGGCTGCGTGTTTCTTGGGTCTTCCGTTATTTGAGCTTGATGACAGCGACTGAAATACTAGCCGATCTGAGCGGGATCGTTACATCCACAACAACTACAACAACAACAAGAGGCTTTTCTGTACTTTTGCTGGAGAATTCAGATAGCGATGATGATTCGAAGTTATGTTTTTGTGCCAACTATCTGCTACTACACTTTTGGTGGCATTTTCAAAGCAAACTCCTGGAACCGGAACTCAATAAGGTGCGCAAAATTTGAAATAATCACTTCCGAGTGAATCTCAATCCCTGCCAATTTAAATTCAAAGCGAATTAGATTGAAATTCACTCGGAAGTTAATTGCAGGACCTGCCTGAATGGTTAATATCTATATAATATAGAAAAACTACTCCGTTCTCTACTGGAGCTAACCTTAAAATTTCTGTATTCCTTCAATTGTCACTCTTAACTCCCTTTCAAGTTAGTTATGAATGCCCACAATAAAAACGACAATTTTTTATTTACATTTCTAAGTACTTTCGTCAATTGTAATACTATTGGTTTTAATTAAATTTCACAATGACATACAATATCACAATTAATAGAAGTAATTAACAAGTTACTAAACTAATTTACAAAACTACTTACATGCGTCTATTTATATTCACACACTTAAATGTACGTAATTATATATTCGCCTAACAATTTTAGCTACTCGCTGGTTTTCAATCAATAAGTAAAAATTTAAATAAAACCACGAATTTACGCATGCCGTATGCAAGTTCAAGTAAACTCGTTTGCTTACATGCCGCCATCAATTCAACCAAACAATTAAGCTAATTTTATTTTATACTATAACGGCATCAAATCCGCCAACGACTCGGCAATTGTGCTGTCACGGAAGCGCCCGATACGTAGCGCATATGATATGACATGTGCCACATAGCTGTTTTCGTGCACGCCGTGGAACAAGTAAGCCATAGCGCCTGGAAGAGATGAAAAATAGAATAAGGGCAAAAATAAATCACCATCTTTAATGCGCTGTCTTACCCTTGGCATGTATGGTGACGTCAGAGCCGCCATGCAAATTCTCATCTGTGTTTATGGCCGCCTGTTGTGTGTATTCCCAAGCCGTAGTATCCTGGGTCGTTGGATCCATGCGCTTGCCATCTGCATCTGCTTCAAAACCCTTATAGCTGGTGCCATAGGTGAGCGTTGTATAAGGGGTACCCTCGGTTTTAGAGTTCATGGCAATGCCCAATATATCAGCACCTCTTTCCGGATGACCATTTATAGTTAAACTGTGCGAATGATCAGCGGTCACGATTATCAGAGTTTCGTCCAGTTGGTGGCTGTAATTGTCCAATGAATTATCAAAGACTGGGGTTATAAATATGTAACTTTTTAGTGTTCATGCAATCAGCCACCGATCACTTACCTCATTTCTTGCACAGCCGCCTCGACGGCCTCATTCAAGGCCAACGTCTCTGAGAGCGCCCGCCTGGCCGTGCCGCGATGGTGGGCCTGATCAATCATGCCGCCTTCGACGACGAGCAGAAAGCCCTTGTCTTTACTCTTCAACACCTCGAGCGCCTTCACGGTCATGTTGCGCAGGGACGGCATGCCTGAGTCGCTGCGATCACGCTCATGATCGTACTTCAGATGGCCGTTGGCAAAGACGCCCAGCACATAATCTACGGATTCACCGTTCAGAGCGTTCAGTTCGCCATTGTTCTGCACCACTGCGTAGCTTTCACCCGCCTGTTGTTTGTATTTTTTCCAGTCGGCGATTAAATCGCGCCCATCTGTTGAAATGCAGGCCCAAGTGTCGATTGGATCCGCCGCGCTATCCGTCACATCAGAGACCAACATTTGGCGACCACCACCCATAATCACATTTATTTTTCCACCTGTCTCGCCCTCGATCAATTGCTTGGCGATATCCTTACAGCCCTCCTGTTGCGCTTCCGCCGGCATTTTCGCCTCGCATTCCCAACGCCTGTCGGGCGTATGCGCGTATAATGCGGCTGGTGTAGCGTGCGTGACGCGCGTCGTCGTCACGAAGCCCGTATTCATGCCGTCCACTTGCGCCCACTTCAATATGGTCTGCACGTGATGGTTGGCATCCAGTGAAGCACTACAATTCTTAAGCGCCACGCTGGAGTCAACGCCGCCGGTTTCATAGTTGGTCTTGACGCCACCAAATAGCGCTGTCGCCGTAGAAAATGAGTCCGGTACCTGCTTATCAGCGCAGTAAGTCTGTGGTTAGTAAAAAATAAAGGTTATTGACACTAAAAACAATCCAATTTCCTTCCGCGCCTCACCTTGAGCAAACCCATGTGCGGAAAGCGCTCCCAACTCAACAGTCCCTCCTCTTTGAAACCGTAAATACGCGTGGCTGTCACCGTATTTGGGCCCATGCCGTCGCCCACGAATAGTATGACATTCTTGGCACGTCGTCGATTAATTTCACGACTCAGCGCAATCTTCAACTCTTCAATGCCCTTTTCGTACCACACTTGCTGCTCGGATGGCAATTTTACATTCCAGAAGGGTATGTCCTCGCCATCCGACACCTCGCTGCCCATTTCGTAGTGCACCAAAAACCCTATGCACATAATGGTGAACAGCACACTGGAAAAAGTGACGGCGACAATGAACATTTTCGACTTGAACACGTTGGGTTTGGGCGGATTGGGCTCCTCGAGCGAGTTTGTGAATGCGTGGCTTGAGTCAAGGCTATCCATTTGGACCTCGATGCCGTCCTGTGAGTTGGGCAGCTTAGTCACATCCATGCTGACGGCGTTCATTCTGTAGCGAAGTGGAATTTTGCGATGTAGCGAGTTGTATACAAGCTGCAGTCTGATGTCTGCAAAGGAAAAAGGAATAGAAGTGAAGAATAGTTGAGCCAAAACTTTAATAATAAAACTTTTAAACCTACGAGCTAGCGTTCGAACTACATATGTATGTGTACTGGCATTGATTAGTGCAGCTAGTCTGCTTATGTTTACTCGCAAAATCTTAATCAGTCTATCTATAGGTGTTTTCGTTATGTGAAGCTGTAAATTTCTTATCAGTAAAGGCGCTTAAAATACATACATACATACATTCATATTTACTTATTTTTATATCAAAGATATATTACCTTCGAAGTTTCTTAATCTTTATGATGCCGTGAGTTAGCTTTTTTGTAGGGAAATTCAGACGCAAGATAACAAGCTGCAAAAACCAGTCGTGCAAAGTGGGAGTCAGATAAAGTTTAAAATCGGTTTTTGGTTTCAATTATCTGGATACCTTTTTTTGGTAAACTTTAGAAATAAAATTTTGGCCCTCAGCACACCCTACACTATATAGCGGTCGCTCCGGCAGTACTTACTCAGTTCGTTGTAAGAAATCAGTGTTTTCTAAAAAAAAATTTACTCGGTCGTAAAAATAATTTCTCGCCCGAAACCATTAATGAATTTTTTCAACAGTTAAAAATTTAAATATTACTAGAAAAAAATCGATATTTTGTCAAGTAACTAATAACTAATGCCCTTATTCATAAAAAGCAAAATAGACCTAAAAAGCTTTGTATAGTGGCATTTTCTTACAATCTTTTGATTTATAAAGCACTTTAAATCTATTTTATTTGTTATAAATTTGGATGTAATAAATTTGGAAGGATAAAGGCATACAAGTGACTTTTATTACGATATTTATAGTTTTCGGAGATTTTTTAAATGCTTAATGTTTGACGAAAATTTCAATCTATTTAAATGATATGCTTTGCTATAGATTTTATTTATTTTTTTTTTTTTGTTTATCGATAAATGTTAGTAAATTCTTTTATTTTGGATATTTCTTCAACTTCCTATTGCATCGGTTTAAGTACCTAAATTGAATTCTGTTATCAAATATCGGCTAATTTTTTTTTATATGGACTGTAAAAAATATTTTTTTTAATCTCAAAATTATTTCTATATCATTAATAGAATAATTGTGCTCACTTCATTGAAAAGGGTCACTAAGCTAAGTTAATAGCTTCTTTGTAGAAAAAAATACCCACGTTTGTTGCTGCAGCTTGACAACGTTCGCAAAACAGAGGGGATTTTCGCCATTAAAATAAAAAAAAAACATAATTGCATACATTAATATAATTAGTTCGCATGAGTAATATTTGTATGTATGTATATGCATGTATGTACATATGTGAATATATGTATGGAAACAGCTCTGTTTGAAATGGGTAAAAGTTCTACATAATTTTAATTTAATACGAGTAATAACGTTTTTGTTTGAACAATTGCTTTTTGAGTTAACAAATGTGTATTTAAAGCGCAGGTATTTTTTTTCTAGGTCAAAGCTTCTTATTTAACCAATCTTCTTACAGTTTCCACTCATTAGTTTCAAAACCTACTTAATATTCTAACTTATTCTAGTGCTTATAGATCTTTCGACAGAAATGATGATCTAGTGCTGGGCCAGGGAAGTTGAAAAAAATTAAAATTTCGATGACAGTTAATCAATGTGTATTTGGTTGAAGAACGCCCTAACTCAGCAAATGGTTAAAGGGAGCCCTTCCTGATTTTAAATTCAAGATATCTGACATAGGGCGTTCTTCAACCAAATTCTGAAGTAGGCCGTTTGTGCTGCTGATATAGGTTGATCTTCCACTGAGACGTCAATATGCTCTTACTTAGGCTGTTCCAATACTCCAGAATTTAGTCAGGAAGATATTAGTGTACACGGCAGCTAACTAAAGCCTGTAGTACTGGAACAGACCAATGATAAATGTGCGGTGTCAAACGTCACAATGTTTACCAGAGGTTTCTTTTATTGATATACGATGTATACGTAGAATTATTGTAAATTTTTTTTGTTTACCGACACGTTCCATTGAATGGTTACTAACGCTATCAAATAATAAACTACAAACAATAATAAAATGAAAGAGACAATTTCCAGAGGGAGAAATGTAAAATACCGCAGTCGGTGGAACGATAAGGGTTAGCTACAGAGAATCAAGTACATATTTGTTTACCACAAAAAATGGTAAAACAAAAAAGGAAGACAATAAATACAAACATCAACGAAGGCAACTCTAAAAAACTGAAAAGGTAGAAAAACAATACAGTGTAAATGATGACACTAATATTACCTGTGAGTTTATATACAGTTATATTTACATATATTTTAAAATAAAATCTTTCGATTGTTGTTGTTGTCAGTTTTTGGATATTTCCTTTAGTTTCCGAGGTATTGACTAAAATTTTTGTCGGTAATTTAGTACGAATTGAGTTAATAATGCAGTCATACTAAACTCATCCAGATTTTCCAAATGGCGTTCTCCATTTTTGGATATCTCTTTTAGTCTCCGAGACATTGGGCCCCATGCATAAAAAGCAAACTTAAGCTCCGACTCGATTTTCATTACAAATTCTTGAGCTTTAGCCCACTTCGACAGTGCAGAGTCTGAGCTTTTATACATGAAGCCCATTGACTAAAATGTATCGTTAATTTAGTACAAATGTGTATCATATTTTAACGCATGTCATACAAAGTGGCTGCAAAATTGTTCACAAATGCAGCTTACGACGAAAATGTACTAAAGAAAATACTTCATAAACTCAAATATAACACTATAGAAACGCTAGAATTACAAAAAAGACGTAACTTAGTTTGTATTACGAATCTGTGTACAGTTTTTCTAGATCAGGTAATTTTCCAAAGATATTTTGATTTTAAGTTTAAGCATTCCGATTGAAAACATTAACATGGAAAATGTCACTCATACGCCATGTACGCGTATGACCATTTACATACATGGCGTATGAGTATCAATCTTACCTACTCATATTTGATCCAAAAAAATCATTACGCATTTTCATTGAACCATTCACAACTTTTTATTTATCCATCAATTTTCTCCGCTAGTAGCTTAATTTTTTTTTTGTTAAAGAACAGGCTTAAATTCCAATTAAAAAAAAAATTACAAAAAGTCTGCTGTTTTTTTATCTTTTTCCCTGTTAAAGTTTGATTTTTTCATAAAAATCAAATTTGGATTTTTGCTATTTTTTGGCCTCCCATCTTATATATAAAAAATAAGTGCAAGATTTCAACCAAATTTATACGGAATAGTCGGGCTATCATGCAGATGGTTTGTGTTAAGTTTCTCCGAATTCGGAAAAGGGGGCGTGGCACTACCCATAGTAACAAAAATTTTCATCTGGTATATCTCTTGAAATATTTGTGGTAGATTACTGGAAATTGGTATAGAGACATTTGAAATAATTCCATACTCATGGTGAAAAAATGTGCGGTAATGAAAAAGGGGGCGTGGCACCTCCCATCTTAAATTAAAAAAATTAGTGCACGAATTCTACCAAATTTAAACGGTATATTCGGACTATCATGCAGATGTGTTATGTGAAGTGTGTCCGAATTCGGTCCAGCGGTTCATGATATATATGACAGTTTATGTCTGTCACATGAACCACGTATATAGTACAACAGCAGATATACATATGAAAAATCGAAAACATAGTGACCAATTGTTGCTATGATGTGCTGTGTTTATTTTTTCTTCGGATAAATTAAGTCAAGTATAAACATGCAATATAGTAAAAAAAAAAAAAATAAATAAAAAATTTCATATAGAAAAATTCCAGGATTTTTCAATATTTGGTGTAGAGAAGCACACCGGGGTACCGCTAGTGGTTTATATGTCAGTGGTTACAGTCACTGGGTATCGATAAAGCGACCCCAGCCTACAAAGCGCTAAGTTCGTCTTACAGCCGGTTTCACCAACAATGGGCGTGTTTCTAAGACGTAACTGTTTACCTTAACTGTTGCTGAAATGCTGATACATAAACTGCCAAAACATTTGTAAACAAGCAAAATTAAATAAAACAGCACCAAAAAAAAAAAAAAAAATATTAAGCCAAAAATATAAAAAAAACACAGGATTTATAATTTAGTTTTTCTTATTTTATTTTTAATATATGTATTTATACGTGTATTTTATTTTATTAACAGCCATTTTCGCCAGCAAACACTCAACAGTTCAGCAACAGCTACGTCTTAGAAACGCGCCCAATTTAAACGGAAAATGATTTTTTTATTTTGTCAATTTCCATATAAGATTCAAAAAATTAAAATCTTTTTCCACTTAAATTGCTTTCGTGAAATTGGCTGTTATAAATTGAATTGGCAGAATCTCATTAACTCATTAACTGGTATCAAGCTACTAGTATTTCTATTAGTAGATGCTGATGCATAGCCTGACAATTGACATCTCGTACGTAATACTAGTCCCTAACATTGAAAAAGGATAGAACGTGGTACTGGTTGGGCTGAAACGCAAACTGGTAGAATTCTAGTTCACAACTAATAGCTTTTTCTGCAGGGTATATATTAAGATGCATATGTACAGTATCGGTCATATCTATAGCACGCCATTTCAAAGTGATATTGTGTGCAACTTATGTTTATTTATTTATTTTTGAGAATTTTCAATTAAAATACAGTTCTTTCTCTAACAAACCCCATCTAAAAACAAGTTTAACAATTTGTAGAAAACTTCAAAAAAGTGCAACAAATTTTCACCTAAATTTCAAACTTTTTTCTCAGAAGTGTTTGAATTTTTCTGAATACACAGTTTTATAGCCCAACCAATTTTAGTCTGATTGATTGATTTTTTAGAATTTTTTCGCCAAAGGTGTTGCGGATTTCTTCCATATACAAATAAATTGAGTTTATTCATTATATGGAAGCCAATGCGACAAAAAAAAATTTAAAAAAATTAACGGTAATTCGTAGCCACTTGAAA